CCCTTGGTAGAGTTCTATGGCGTCACAGCTCACAGCAACCTCCAACTCCTGGGCTCAACTGATCCTATTGTGTCAGCCTCCTGAGTAGCTGGGACTACAGGTAGGTATCCACCACAACGCCCGGCTATTCGGCCCAACTACTTTTTAGAGACAGGATCTCGCTCTTGGTAAGGCTGAGCTGGAACTCCTGATCTCAGGCAATCCACCCACCTTGGCCTTCCAGAGTGCTGAGATTACAGGCGTGAGCCACCTTGCCTGGCCCTAACTGTAAAATGAAAAGGGTTTATCTGAGCCAAGTTTAAGGACCATGTCCTGGAGCCACACCCTAAAAGCCCTAATCAAGTAATCTTGCCATGGTTGGATTAATTTGCTTTTATACATTTCAGTGAGATGGGAATTTACGTGTAAGGTTGTAGTATATGAAAATGTACATTGATTTGGCCTAGATGGGACATCTCAAAGCCAAGATTTAAGGGTTAGAGGTAGGTTTAAAGATTCTTTGAGTTGTAAATGAAGTTTTAGCCTGGCATGTACTTGTAATGCTACCTCTTTGGGAGGCCAAGGCAAAAAGAACCCTTAAGCTTGGAAGTTGCAGACCAGCATGAGCAAAATTGAGACTACCATGGCAATCCAAGCAGGGCTCTGTGGCTCATGCCTAAATCTAAGCATTCTGGGAGGCTGAGGTGGTGAATAACCTGAGCTCAGGAGTTCTACACCAGCCTGAGCAAGAGCAAAACCCCATCTCTACTAAAAACAGAAAAACTAGCTGGGTATTGTAGTGAGTGCCTATAGTCTCAGCTACTCAGGAGACCCAGGCAAGGTCACTTTAGCCACAGAGATGGAAGTTGCTGTGAGGTATAATGCTGGGCACAAAGTGAGACTGTCTCAAAAAAAAAAAAAAAAAAATTAAGACTCCATCTCTACTTAATAGAAAAATAAGCTGGGGCTCAGTGCCTGTAGCTCAGCAGCTAGGGTGCCAGCCACATACACCAGAGCTGGTAGGTTTGAACCCAGCCTGGGTCTGCCAAGCAGCAATGACAACTGCAACCAAAATATAGCCAGGCCTTTCTGGTGGGCACCTGTAGTCCCAGCTACTTGGGGAGGCTGAGGCAAGAGAATCACTTAAGTCCCAGAGTTTGAGGTTGCTGTGAGCTCTGACACTACAGCACTCAACTGAGGGCAACATAGTTAAGATTATCTCAAAAAAAAAAAAAAAAAGAATGACGGCGCCTGTGGCTCAAAGGAGTACGCACCGGCCCCATAAGCCGGAGGTGGTGGGTTCAAACCTAGTCCTGGCCAAAAACTGCAAAATAAAAAAACAAAGAAGAAAAAAGAAAAATAAGCTGGGTGTGGTGCCCGTAGTGGTGAATGCCTATAGTCCCAGATATGCTAGGCGCCGAGGAGGATCACTGAAGCCCAGGAGTTTGAGGTTGCTGTGAGCTAAGCTGACTCCAAGGCACTCTAGCTTGGGGCAGTGGTGAGATTGTCTCAAAAAAAAAATTTTTTTGTCTAAAAGCTTGGAATGTTTTAATAAAGTCTTAATCCAAGACAAGCCACTGGACATACATCCAGACTCTAGTGGTCTGTTAAGTAAACTGATTACCTGTGGGTATAATTTTAGCTTTGTCTTGCATAGCCTTAGGCCTATTAAGGAGCTACAAAGGACATCCCCGAGAAGGGAGGGTGGGGCATGATGAAGCATGACTGATCTCCCTTCTCCAGGCCAGCAACTCAGCTTTAAGGTATTTTCTGGGGTCCCCTTGGCCAGGTCAGTCAGCTGAGGGTCTTAAGATTTTATTTTAGTTCACCTGGTATGTCATTCAGAGAAGATCTGGGAAGGGTGAGGTCTAGGAGAACAGAGTTCTCAAGGATACACCTGCGGGGTCCTCCTCATGGTGACTCAGCTCTTAGGAATTTGCAGACTTCCGGAAACCTGGAAATTTCTGTTTCTGTGAAATCCTGTAGTTCTGTGGGGGCTGGAACAGCATCTCCTGCTTGATTCAAACTGACCAATGAGAAAGGTACCTGTAGGCTGGAACTTTTTGACTACAGATAAAAAGGGAAAGACCAAGCCAGTCACGGAGCATGGCCATTTTGAGATTTTTAGATTTGCTGTAGCTCCACTGGCTGAATAACCCCATTTTCCTCTTAAATACGGTATTTGGGTGTTTGTTCTCTCCATCTTCCTGCAATATCGTAATTTACTTGGTCCCAATGGTAAGTTCCAGGACTTCTCTACTCCAAGCACTACTGCAATAGATACACCAATATTTCAGCCAACTTCCCTGATATCAACCTGGAGGTAAACTGACAATGGAATTACTTGGTTAAACGATATAGATACAATGGCAATATGATTATTACTCCCCACTTGTGCACCTATGAAGAGACCTAGCAGTGGAACACAATCGGAGGGATCCTGGTTTAGAGACCTTGACTTGCATTGGAGGAAAGAGGTGGCCTATCCAGGAGCAGTTCACAAGTATGCTACCTTGGAGTTTATCTTTGCCTGAGAAATAACCCACTTTGGGAATTTACTTTGGGGAAGTCTTTAAGCTCCTGACATTGTTAACTATAAAGTTACAAGGCATTTTTTTTTTTTGAGACAGAGTCTCACTTTGTTGCCCTCAGTAGAGTACCGTGGAGTCACAGCTCACAGCAACCTCAAATTCTTGGGATGAGGCAGTTCTCTTGCCCAGCCTCCCGAGTAGCTAGGACTATCGGTGCCCACCACAGCGCCTGGTTATTTTTAGGGGGCTGAGCTGGGTTTCAACCTGTCACCTCCAGCATATGGGGCCGGCGCCCTAGTCCTTTGAGTCACAGGCGCCACCCAGCTATAAACTTCTAAGTAGGGGTTGTCTGTAAGCCAATTAAGGAGGTAAAAAGTGGATTTTACTTGTCTCCTAGGACCCAATTTCATTCCTGATTTGTCTCCTTCTGTGCATATATAGCCAACAACTAACACCAAAGGATCGTATTAGTGTACATTTTTTCTCACTTTTGGTATCCCTGCTGAGGGGGTTCATAGTTTTCAGTTACATAGATTTTAGATACTAGTTTTTTTTTGTTTTTGTTTTTGGCCAGGGCTGGGTTTGAACCTGCCACTTCCGGATATGGGGCTGGCACCCTGCTCCTTTGAGCCACAGGCTCCGCCAGATAACTAGTCTTCTTTTGAGGGTTAGTTGCTGGTCCTATCTTCCAAAAGCGCCTGTTCATCCAGTCTGAAAAACCTTTTAGATGTGTTAATTAAGAAGATAAGATACTCTTTACAAATGCCCAGTGGCCCAGAGGCATCTGTTCTCAGCCTTGGTGAGTATCTCCCTAGGGAGCATACTTAAGCAGTTTTGCATACTTTTTATGCCCTTGGGTAACTGGCTTCTAACTAGGAATTTTGTTTTAAAAAAAAACAGGTATTTTACACTCTGGGAGGCCGACGCGGGTGGATTGCTTGAGCTCAACAGGTTCGAGACCAGCTTGAGCAAGAGCGAGACACCACCCCACCCACCCCCGTCCCTAAAAATAGCCGATGGCGCCTGTAGTCCCAGCTACTCGGGAGGCTGAGGCAAGACAACTGCTTGAGTCCAAGAGTTTGAGATTGCTGTGAGCTGTGATGCCGTAGTACTCTACCGAGGAGTAGACTCAGTCTCAAAAACAAAACAAAACAAGAACAGGTATTTTGAACCATGTGATCCTGCTTTTGCACTTCTGAAACCCAGTGACCTTGAGCTAATGACTTACCGTCCCTGGCCTTGTTTCCTCAGCGTACGTCAGAAAATTCTGTCTCAAGCATAGAGGAATTCAAGCATATAGTCAACCCTGAAGTGGGTAAACTCAGCACTGCAACAATTTTTAGTTAACATGATATGTACCTGCATGATTACAAGTTCTGCTGCCATTATATCTTTGGACGTTTCAGCGGTCTCCAGTTTTTCCACCGTTATGAAACGTCTCTGTAATTCAGCATGAATTATTTTCATAGGCCAAGTTCCCTCTGGGATAAAGGTCCATTTCTAAGACTGGCGGTAACCCCACGCAAATCCCGGACGTTATATCCGGTTGCCCATAGTAAAGATGGCGGAAGAAGGGCGTCATTACTGGCCAGGGTGAGGTGTCAATGCCCTCGCCTACCATGGCGGCCTTCTGTGCCCGCCTACTTGGCGTCAACATTTTCCGCTTACTCCCTGGACCAGTCATGATGGCGGCTGGATCTATGGCGGCTTCTCGCGGAATTCGCGACCTTCTAACCAGGCGTGAGTCACCTCTTTACCTATGAGGTCGCGCTGTCATAGTAGCGGTGGGACCAAGAGGCCTATCCAAGATCCCGAGCCCCCTAAACACGGGTCCGAGTGCTCCCA